CAGGGCGGCTCACGTTAAAATACAGGAAAAAAACAATTCAGTATATACAAAATGCCTTAAAATCCATCTATATTACAAGCAATGCTCCCTCTAAGCTGTGGAGTCTTGTGAGCAAAAATTCTCCTTTGTGCGCTCCTGCCAAAGCAGGCTCAGGGCGGCTCACGTTAAAATACAGGAAAAAAACAATTCAGTATATACAAAATGCCTTAAAATCCATCTATATTACAAGCAATGCTCCCTCTAAGCTGTGGAGTCTTGTGAGCAAAAATTCTCCTTTGTGCGCTCCTGGCATTAAAGCTGTGAGCGAGCGATTTGGTTTGCTCTGGAGCCATCCCTTCCTGAGCTGAGACAACAACGTGTGAGCTGGAGGCTGTGAGCTAGCTCACACTAACTCAGCTTAGAGGGAACACTGATTACAAGTGAGGTCAAGGTCAAGGTTTCCCTTGCTCGAGAGCCAGTCAAATCCGACTCTTGTGGTGCGGTGCTCATTCCCGTTTCCAAGCCAAAGAGCCAGCGCTGTCCGAAGACTTTTCCGTGGTCATGTGGCCGGCAGGACTAGACACCAAGGCGCACGGAATGCTGTGACCTTCCCACCGAAGCGGTACCTATTTACCTACTTGCAGTTTCTCGCTTTCGAACTGCTAGGCTGGCAGGAGCCGGGGCCAGAGATGGGAGCTCGCTCAGTCACGCGGCACTCGGGTCTTGAACTGCCGAGCTACCGACCTTCCGGTCTGCAGTCCAGCGTCTTAACCGCTTGAGCCACCGCAGCCCATTTATATCACAAGTAGCAAGTCACAAATAGTTACAGTTAAAGTGCTAGTGGCAGTAGCTATAGGCCATGATGTAACAAATACAGCAAAAAGTGTGGCCAAAGGATGTTTCTCTTGACGTCGCAGGCAGTTGCTGTTGTCGTGAAATAGTAATAGTAGTAGTAATAATAATAATAATAATAATAATCATCATCATCATCATCATCATCTTTCGATTTATTGATCGCTCAATCCTTGCAGAGCTGCCTGTACCTCAATCTTCTTAGAGATACTTCTTATCTGTATTTCATTTCAGTCTTCTGAAAAAGAACAATGGGTCTTCTGAATGGCGCAATAAACACAACCTGCCTGTACCGGTGTTACTGGATGACCAGGAACACTACGAAATTGAATGTGTTTTGGACTCTAAACGTAAACGTGGTAAACTGTGGTATCTGGTTGAGTGGAAGGACTTTGGACCCCAGCACCGAGAATGGGTGGAAGAAGGGGATATTCGGGGCCCCTTACATGATTCGGACGTTTCACCGGGATTTCCCGGACAAGCCGGGAGGTCTCCCGGAATGACCGGGAGATTCTCCCGGAATGGCCGGGAGACCCTGGGAATGAGGGGAAATGAAGTTTTGAGGGGGCAGTATGTCAGCAAGCTGCCATATTCTATGATTCTGGTGATGTGTGGCTTATATACTCCGCACATGCTTTACTTCTGTGGATTGTAACCTATGTAATCCCCCCCTGCTTTGTGTATTGTTTATTCACCTTGCTTAGCAACCCTGACGCATGCTCAGACATAAGGCTTGTTAGAGAACCGAGCAACACTCAAGGCCGAGCAGGTGCGAGATAAGGATGGCAGTAGCTTTTGTTTTATTTAGCAGAGCCTGAGAAAAACTCAGTAACGATAACTGAAGCGTTTTGGTTCTCAGCAGGTTGGCGCTTTTTATCCCCAAGCGGGAAATGTACTCATTGGCTTAGTAGCGTTTTGAAATGCATTCATATTGCTTGCTGTGCTTCCTCCATGCTATTCTAAACAGAAACCTTTCTAGTGACTCACTGATTCAATAAAGTTCTCTTCTCTACAAGAATGACTACGTTGTTTTGATGGGACCTCGACACTCTGAGGGATTTACAGTTACTCATGTGTTGACATGGGACTAACAATGATGGGGGTAAGGGAGGACAACATATATCCTTTTTAATCACACACACTTCGCAGTCGACAGGGAGTTTGGTCAGCTGTAAGCAGACGTGTTCCGGCAGCATTCTTTAGTCGGCGTCGCTTGATGTCGTCAGCATTTTTCTCAGTCGCAGCGCACCACTTCCACCGTCTGGCCAGAATGGCCCATTGCAGGCTTTTCTTTGATGCTGCATAGATCTCTCTCTCTCGGCTTTTGATCTTATGCGCGGAACTTCCGTTTGTCGGCTAACACTTCCCACCGAGGGGGTTAAGTGTGCCCACCCTCTCTAAGGAGTGGTACCCATTTTATCTACTCGCCGAAGCTTTCGAACCGCTGGGTGGACGGCGAGCTGGGGACACGGCTGGTAGCTCACACCAGTGCGGGGCTTGAACTGACAGCAGTCCTGTTCAGCTCAGATGTTTAACCAGGGGATAAATCCCCGGTGCCACTGCTCCTCTTATCCCAGTTCAATGTTGTTGGTAGCGGCTCCTAATCGAAGACTTGATGGAAGAGCTCCGTTCTGCAGGCACTGCGGAACTGTCAAAGGTCCCACAGGGCCCTGATGTCTTCCGGGAGCTCTTTCCACCAGTATGGAGCTGCTACTGAGAAGGCCCTGGCCCTAGAAGAGGCCAGTCTGGCATCTTTCAGTCTGGGTAGGATCAAGCGGTTTTGAGAACCTGATCTCAGTGCTCTCTGGGGAACATGTGGGGAAAGGCAGTCCCTCAAGCAGACAGGCCCCAACCAGTGTTCCCTCTAAGCTGAGTTAGTGTGAGCTAGCTCACAATTTTTTAGCCTCCAGCTCACAGATTTTTGTCTTAGCTCAGGAAGGGAGGCTCCAGAGCAAACTGATTTATGCAGTAGCCAAATTGTGAGTTACTGGCTCACAACTTTAAAGCCAGTAACTCACAAAGCAGAATTTTTGCTCATAAGACTCCACAGCTTAGAGGGAACATTGGCCCATATAGGGCTTTAAAGGTCAAAACCAGCAGCTTGAAGCAGTTTTGTGCACCACAGTTCTCACAGAGGCCACCCAGCTGCCTCCAGGAAGGCCACAAACAGGAAGTGAAGACCACACACAGTGCTTCCCTCTAGGGCTGCCTCTCTGTGATTCAGAGATACACTGCCTCTGAACCTGGAGGCTCCATTTATCTACGATGACTAAAGTCCATCGAATGACCAATTGCCTTGTTTCTTGTCATCTTCTGGGCATGGAACAGCAGTCACTGGGGGTGTGGGGGGGAAGGCGTTTGTGAATTTCCTGCATTGTGCTCAGGGTTGGACTAGATGACCCTGGAGGTCCCTTCCAACTCTATGATCTTATTATTCTAAATATGTCTGGAGGGGAGGCGGTGGCTCAATGGCAGAGCCTCTGCTTTACACACGGAAGGTCCCAGGTTCAATCCCTGCTATCTCTAGTTAAAAGGACCGGGCAATAGGTGACGGGAAAGACCTCCGCCTGACACCCTGGAGAGCTGTAAAGAGGGGCTGTGACTCAGAGGTGGAGCCTCTGCTTGGTATGCAGAAGGTCCCGGGTTCAATCCCCGGCATCTCCAGTTAGAAGGACCAGACAGGAGGTGATGGGAAAGACCCCAGCCTGAGACCCTGGAGAGCTGTAAAGAGGGGCTGTGGCTCAGTGGCAGAGCCTCTGCCTGTCATGCGGAAGGTCCCAGGTTCAATCCCCGGCATTTCCAGCTAAAAAGGACCAGGCAGGAGGTGATGGGAAAGACCTCAGCCTGAGACCCTGGAGAGCTGTGAAGAGGGGCTTTGGATCAGTGGCAGAGCCTCTGCTTGGCATGCAGAAGGTCCCAGGTTCAGTCCCCAGCATCTCCAGTTAAAAAGGACCAGGCAGGAAGTGATGGGAAAGACCTCACCCTGAAACCCTGGAGAGCCACTGCCGGTCTGAGTACCCAATACTGACCTCGATAGACCGATGGTCTGATTCAGTAGAAGGCAGCTTCATGTATGTCTAATCTTCCTTTAAAGCTGTCTATATACTATCAGGCATGTGTGCCCCCCCTGCAGATAGCTAAATCTGCAGATGGGGGCTACACAGACAGGAAACAGATTTTTTTAGCAAACTTGGGGGAGTCGTTACTGGCTAAATATCAGGAGAGACTTCCTCGCTATAAGGGTGGTTGAGCAGTGGAACAGTCTGCCTCGGGAGGTGGTGGATGCTCCTTCGCTGGACGTTTTCAAGTGGAGGCTGGACGACCACCTTTATGTCGTAGGGCTGTCTTTCGGCTCTGCTCCTGCAGAGGGCAGGGGGTTGGACTAGATGACCCGCAAAGTCCCTTCCAACTCTAACATTCTATGATTCCCGGAAGAGAAGACGAGAATTCCCACCGGTTCTGTGCCCAAGAACGACACCGAGAGGTTATAAAAATAAAAAGGCAGTGAAATGTTTTATTGACAGTAAATATCAAACGAGCAGTTAACACGGAGGTGGTGTAAGGGGGGCGGGGGGGCGGGACCGGTTTTAGGCCAGACTGCGAACGATGCTGGAGTTCGCCAGTTAGAGCGCCAGATGTGTGCTTTGGGCCTCCAAGATATCACTTGGGTACGGGGGCGGGGGTAACTCTCACCCTCCGTGCTGTTTGGCCCCTCCTCTTTCCCCGGTCACATCCCTGACGTATTGTGTCCCCTCCCCCGTCCCCACCAGCGACTTTTAAAGGGCCAGATTATACCAGCTCCGGCTTGAGAATTTCGGCATCACACAGCTTGGCCCTGAGCTCAGCTAGAGAAACGGGACGGGTCAACTTAAGAGGAGGAATGCACGGTACCAATGAACTTTAAATCCCATAATACCACCCCCCACACACACACACACAGGATGCTGGGAACTGTCATTAGGCACAGGTGCCGAGAACAATCCGTCCAATCCCTGAAGGCCCAGACCGACGGCTCCCGGAATCCCTCGCAACCGGGGCGGGAAAGTGAAAGGAGATCGACAGCGCAGAAATGCCCCGGCACGCAATACGAGGAGTGAGCCGTCCGTCTTCATTTCTTCCTGCACGGATGGATCGATGCTTTGTTGGGACGACGGCGCCCCATAGAATTCCCCCCCCCCCCATGGCCACTGTGAAGTGGAGAACTGCCCCGGCCATTGGCTGCCAGCCACAAAGGCTTCTGGAAACACTCGTGGGAAGCCAAAGGAGAAAGGAAAACGGCAGCTGACAGTTGAGGATTCCGTGCGACCCTCGAAAATCGCCCTGGTCTGCAAGGCGGGTTCTTCTCCAGACGGCCTTGGCTCCCACGCACAGCACAGTCTTTTTCTATTAAAAACGACACAAACAGAAGTCCCACCCCAGCATGCGCGTTTCCTTGGCGCCATCAAAGGCTGGAGGAAGAGGCCGCTTCCCACTGTCGGAAGATCCGGAACACCTTGCTGGATTTCACCGAGAGGCTCTATAGTGTGAGGGAGAGAGACAAAGAGAAGAACATCTGAGACTTCTGCATCCCTGTCCTGAAAATGGCCAGTTACTTTGGGATTTGGGTGTATTCAGGAGCTACCAGTCATGGTGACTAAAAAGGAACCTCCGTGTTCAGGGACAGTCAGCCTCTGAATATCAGTGCCAGGAGGCAACACAAGCGGAAGGTCTCAACTTCTATGCTGTGGTTGGCCCTCCAGAGGAACTGGTTGGCCCCTGTGTGAGACAGGAGGCTGGACTGGATGGACCCTCACTGGTCTGATCCAGCAGGGCTCTTCTGATGTTCTAATGAAGGAACTCGGCCTCTCTGCCCTATTGCTGGCCCTCCAGAGGAACTGGTTGGCCACTGTGTGTAACAGGAAGCTAGGCTAGATGGACCGCTGGTCTGATCCAGCAGGGCTCTTCTGATGTTCTAATGAAGGAATTCGGCCTCTCTGCCCTGTTGCTGGCCCTCCAAAGGAACTGGTTGGCCACTGTGTGAGGCAGGATGCTGGACTAGATGGACCCTCACTGGTCTGATCGAGCAGGGCTCTTCTGATGTTATTATGAAGGCCTCGACCTCTATGCCCTATTGTTGGCCCTCCAGGGGAACTGGCTGGCCACTGTGTGAGACAGGATGCTGGATTAGATGAACACTCACTGGTTTGATCCAGCAGGAGTGATGTTCTTAAGAAGGCCTCGGCCTCTCAACCCTGTTGTTGGCCCTCTACACAGGAACTGGTTGGCCACTATGTGAGGCAGGAGGCTGGACTAGATGGACCCTCACTGGTCTGATCCAGCAGGGCTCTTCTGATGTTCTTATGAAGGCCTCGGCCTCTCTGCCCTGTTGTTGGCCCTCCAGAGGAACTGGTTGGCCCCTGTGTGAGGCAGGATGCTGGACGAGATGGACCACAGGTCCGATCCAACAGGACTCTCCTCATGTCCTTATGAAGGTCTCGGCCTCCATTCTCTGTTGTTGGCCCTCCAGAGGAACTGGTTGGCCGCTGTGTGAGACGGGAGGCTGGTACTAGATGGACTGCTGGTCTGATCCAGCAGGGCCCGATGTTCTTATCAGAGGAAGGCCTTGTGGGTTTTTTTGGCCGTCTTCCATTTTGAGATATACAATGGCCATTCGACTATTGCAAGCGCTCAGAGGCAAAAGCCACATCCATTCTGTACGGCAGGGGTCGCTACCATGGTTTCCACCGTCCCTACTGACACCTTTTCTGGCACCCGCAAGATTCTTAAGGAAGTGGGTGGGGACAGGCAAAGGTTTTCCCAACAAGACTTCCGAATTAACTACTGGAGATTTGATTGGCCATTGGAGATTTGATAGGCTGTGCAGATTTTTAAAAACATTACTTTGGCAGCAGCTGCCACCCTAGCACAAGGATGTTCACTATGTAACTGAAGGGAAGTTGCAACAACCTTGATGAAAGGTCTGGTTTGGTGTTGGGTGGCGGCCATTTTGTGGCTGGCTTTGCCTCCGGTGGCGGCCATTTTGTGGCTGCGCCCACCATGTCGTGTCAGGATTACAAACGCACCTGCGGGCTCAAAAGGGTTGGCGAACCGTGCTGTACAGCATCCATCATGCCCCGGGGCCCTGAAGGAGGAGTTCTTACCTCAGACGCCGTATCCGCCAGACCGTCGGTCTGCTTGGAAGAGAGGAGAACCTTCAGGACCGCTTGCCAGCCGAGATCTGACTTTCTGGGTGTTCCGTCCGCTTGGTCTTCGCTGTTCCCAGAGGTTTCTGTCTCCTTCACCGTGTTGACCCAAGGACACCAGTCGCGGTGCTGGGAGACAGGGTTGAAGAAGCTTCGGGGAGATGAATCCTGAGGGACACAGTGAGGTATAGAGGTTAAGAGTGCTGGACGAGTATCTGAGAGACCCGGGTTCAAGGAGGAGGAGGAGGAGGAGGAGAGATTGGATTTATACTCTGCCCTTCACTACCTGAAGGAGTCTCAAAGCGGCTTACAATTTCCTTCCCCTCCCCACAACAGACACCCTGGGAAGTCGGTGGGGCTGAGAGAGCTCTCTTGAGAACTGCTCTTGAGAGAAGAATAGACTGGATTTATAGCCCATGGCCCTCCACTCCCCGAAGGAGTCTCAGAGCGGCTCACAAACTCCTTTCCCTTCCCCTCCCCACCACAGACACCCTGTGAGGGAGGTGAGGCTGAGAGGAGGAGAAGGAGGAGGAGGAGAAGAAGAGGAGGAGGAGGAGGAGATTGGATTCATACCCCGCCTTTCACTGCCTGAAGGAGTCTCAGAGCGGCTCACAAACTCCTTTCCCTTCCCCTCCCCACCACAGACACGCTGGGAGGCAGGTGGGGCTGAGAGAGCTCTCTTGAGAACTGCTCTTGAGAGAAGAAGAGACTGGATTTATACCCCATGGCCCTCCACTCCCCGAAGGAGTCTCAGAGCGGCTCACAAACTCCTTTCCCTTCCCCTCCCCACAACAGACACCCTGTGAGGTAGGTGGGGCTGAGAAGAGGAGAAGAAGGAGGAGGAGAAGAAGAGGAGGAGGAGGAGGAGATTGGATTCATACCCCGCCTTTCACTGCCCGAAGGAGTCTCAGAGCGGCTTCCTGTCCCTTCCCCTCCCCACAACACACGCCCTGCGAGGTAGGTGGGGCCGAGAGAGCTCTTTCGAGGACTGCCCTTGAGAGAACAGCTCTGAGAGAACTTGTGACTGACCCAAGGTCACACTGGCAGCTGCATGTGGAGGAGAAGTGGGGAATCAAAGCCAGTTCTCCCAGATTAGCGTCCGCGCTCCTGACCACTACACCAAACTGGCTCTCAAATCCCCACTCATACCACAGAAGCTTGCTGAGGGACCTGGGCAATGCTCCCTCTAAGCTGCGGAGTCTCGTGAGCAAAAATTCTTCTTTGTGAGCTACTGGCACGAAAGTGGTGAGCGAGCGATTTGGCTGCTGCATAAATCAGTTTGCTCTGGGGCCCTCCTCCCTGAGCAAAGACAAAAATCCATGAGCTGGAGGCTAAAAAACTGTGAGCTAGCTCACACTCACTCAGCTTAGAGGGAACACTGGACCTGGGGCCAGGCGTACTCAGTCAGCCTGACCTACCCCACAGGGTTGTTGTGGGCATAAAATGGAGGAGAGGAGAACGGTGTGAGTGGCTTTGGGTCCCTACTGAGGAGAAGTGCAGGGTATATAAATGAAGTAAGTACGTAAAAGAAGAAGAAGAAGAAGAGATTAGATTGGGTTTATACCCCATGGCCCTTCACTACCCAAAGGTGTCTCAGAGCAGCTGACAAGCGCCTTTCCCTCCCCCTCCCCACAACAGACACCCCTGTGAGGTAGGTGGGGCTGAGAGAGCTCTGACAGAAACTGCTCTGTTTTCAAAAACAGCTCTGAGAGAACTACGGCTTGCCCAAGGTCATCCAGCCAGGTGCAAGTGGAGGAGTGGGGAATCAAACCTGGTTCTCCCAGATTAGAGTCCGTGCACTTCACCACTACACCAAACTAGCAGTTCCAAATGAAGAGGAGAAGGAGAAGAGGAGGAGATTGGATTTCTACCCCCGCCCTTCACTACCCAAAGGAGTCTCAGAGCGGCTGACAACCTCCCTTCCCTTCCCCTCCCCACCACAGACACCCTGTGAGGTCGGTGGGGCTGAGAGAGCTCTGACAGAAAGTGCTCTTTTTCATAGAACAGCTCTTATCAGAACCACGGCTTGCCCAAGGTCATCCAGCCAGGTGCAAGTGGAGGAGTGGGGAATCAAATCGGGTTCTCCCAGATTAGAGTTCGCGCACTTAACCACGACACCAAACTGGCTCAGAAAGAGGAGCAGTTTCAAAGGGAGGCAGGACTGTCTCCCCCCTTCCCCCAACGGTTCTTTAACAGCCACGGGGAAAGGCCGTGGTTCAGTGGTGGAAGGTCCCCCGAGGCAGGTAACATCCTTGCCCGTTTGCTCTGCCGCACACTCACCGAGCTGCTGGAGGAGCAGAGGCGTGCCCTCTTGGCCTTCCGGTGGGGGCTGGACGGCACCTCCGCGCCCAGGCCGCTGGCTTCGCCTTGCCCCATGCTGCGGGTCACGGGGCGGCTCCGGGGGGTGGGGCTGGCCGCTTCCCCATCCAGCCGTTCGCTGGAGCTCGAGCTGTCCCAGCTCCGCATGCGGCTGATCCCTGGGGACGGGCTCTTCTCCTGCTGCTGGGGGCAGAAAGGAATCCAGATACTGATTTTGTTTCGTAGCTCTTCCTCCATCGGCATGAAAGAAACAGCTTAAATGATATGTCTATTCAGAACGATAACATCCGAGGTGAACAAGGATTGTGCGGGCTTCTAAGGGAAGGTGCATGAACAATTGTTGTGACGCTTTATGAGAAGCCTCATCAAAATGTTTTGTGAATAGAGATGTAGAATTTCTGGAAATTTTGAAGCTCGGGGAAAAACCCGTTTTTCCCCCAGGTTTTTTGGGTTTTTTGAAAAAAACAGAAATGTTCGGAAAAATTGAAAAAAAATGGCCACATTAGCACTTCTTTTTTCTTTTCCAGACTGAAAGTCATTCTGTTACTTTAGGAACATAAAATATGACTATGGACATTTTCACTTGGCATGAAATGATCACAACTAGCATATTAAAAGTATAGTGTATCCAAACAATGATTACAAACAGAATACCCACCCACATGCAAAAACAGAACTGAAACCTTTTTCTTTTCTTGTGACAATAGCACCTCCTAAAGGAAGAAATGCATCTTGTTCTTGCATTGGAGAGTTCAGTTTGTAACCTAGGACTTGCTTGTCCTCAGTGCACAGAAATTAGATCAATCTGATACCATACCTATTTTTTAGAAATGATCTGGAAAATATTTGAACACCTTGTCTTAAAATATTTTATTCATCATGTTAAAATAAAATGTTCCATATCAATTTTTTTTCTTTTCTTTTTTCAATTTTTTCGGAAATAAACAAAAAAGGCTTCAGGAACAAAATGGAAAACCCCCCGGTTTCCCCCCGATTTTTTCTGGGTTTTTTTCTGGGCCTTCACATCTCTATTTGTGAATAGCTATGTAGGTTTTCAGAGGCAACATCAGCAGTTGGAACTTGCTGTGAAGCATTACGAGAAGCTTTATCAAAATGTTTGTGAATAGTTGCCTGTTGATGAAGCGTTGTTCTTGTATGTTACCTTAGAAGTCCATACAATCCTTGTTCACCTCAGAAGACTGTAATGTTAGGGTGCGGAAAGGAGGCATGAGACAGGTGCACTAGACCTTTGTGGAAATTCAAGTTGGCATCACCCCGATAGAAACAGGGATCCCACAAAGAAGAGGAGCAAAAATTACTGTCTCCACTCCCAACCAATTCTCCCTCCAAGCTGTGGAGTCCTGCGAGCAAAATTTCTACTTTGTGAGCTCCTGGCCTCCAAGTTGTGAGTGAGCATAAATTAGTTTGCTCTGGAGCCATCCCTTCCTGAGCGAAGACAGAAATGTGTGAGCCGGAGGCTAGAAAACTGTGAGCCTAGCTCACTTTAATTCATCTTAGAGGGAACACTGCTGCCAACAAACACTTGGGAGAGCAGCATGCGGCAAAAGGCTCAGAGTACAGGGAGACCGCTTGCATTGGGAAACGATTTTGTGCTCCAGACCACACTACAGCGGATCAAGGAGGATTCTCAGGCAGGAATATCACATGACCCTCCAAAGTCGAACCGGCAAGTGGCCTCCTTTGAAATGGACCACGCTCGAAGCAAGGCAGTGTGGGAACTCTGTCCATTCACAGATGCAAGCCAACACCTGATGATGTAGCCATCAAGTGACAAATGCAGTTGTGTGACACCCCCCCCCCCCAAGTGATGCCTGGAGAAGTTTAGGAACCACTTTCCTTGGAAGGTCGGAGATCATGCCTAGCACCCTGCCCGGAACACCTTGTACCTGAGGTCACCACGTAAAATGTCCCATCATTTAATTCCAGAATTCACCACTGGCCTAGAATCCTAGATGATTATAAAAACGACACCAACAAGGATTCGAGCCCTCTTCCATGAAGACGGCGCTAATTTAATGGAACCACCATGTTAACAGGCAGTAACTCTAAATATCAGATGCTACGAGAAAACCTTGAACCACAAGGAAAGCCTGGGGATAAACGTTTTAATAAATAGTTAAATAGCAGAGGAATGCTGTCATCTTGGTGAACTGCTTGTGCGCTCCCCGCAACCATCCACCATCGGAAGGAAGATTCTGGACTCAATGGACCCTTCCATCTAATCTAGCAAGGGCAATCCCTTCAATTTCCTTTTTCTAAACCTTTAGGAGAGAGTTAGAAGAAGAAGAAGAAAAGAAGAGATTGGATTTATACCCTGCCCTTCGCTACCCAAAGGAGTCCCAGAGCGGCTCACGAACTCTCTTCCCCTTCCCCTCCCCACCACAGACACCCTGTGAGGCAGGTGGGGCTGAGAGAGCTCTTGACAGAAACGGCTCTTTTTCAAAGACAGCTCTTATCAGAACTATGGCTTGCCCAAGGTCATCCACCCAGGTGCAAGTGGAGGAGTGGGGAATCAAACCTGGTTCTCCCAGATTAGAGTCCGCGCACTTAACCACTACACCCAAACTGGCGCTCAAGAAGAAGAAGAATAAGAGGAGGAGGAGGATGGATTTATACCCTGCCCTTCACTACCCAAAGGAGTCCCAGAGCGGCTCACGAACTCTCTTCCCCTTCCCCTCCCCACAACAGAAACCCTGTAAGGTAGGTGGGGCTGAGAGAGCTCTTGACAGAAACGGCTCTTTTTCAAAGACAGCTCTTATCAGAACTACGGCTTGCCCAAGGTCATCCACCCAGGTGCAAGTGGAGGAGTGGGGAATCCAACCCGGCTCTCCCAGATTAGAGTCCGCGTACTTAACCACGACACCAAACTGGTTACCCCCAGTTACCGTCGCCCTTTCCTTTGGCTTGCGCTGAATCTAGTCAGATGATGGACGTCTATCCTTCCCAAGGACGGATGAAGCACTCAAGGCCTACCTGTTCACAGCCCAGAGGGAAAGTTGTATCCTGGCTTCGGGTGATCATCCGGCGTGGAGAGGTGGGGACCGCCGGGACTTTGTCCGATCGCCCGTCGGTCGGATTGGGGGGGGTGGCCATCAGGCCGGCGGGCGGGTCCGTCTCCGGTGCAGTGCACTCCGCCTGGTGGAAGCCCCAAAGCCCCACCTTCCTCATGCAGCGGCAGCAGGTGATCAAGGGGAGAGGGATGGATCCGGAGGAAGGGCTGGGGGGTGGGAACCAAGGAAGAGAGTCAAGAATCAAAGCAAAATCATCTGATGTGCACAGATATGTAATTTTAACGTGATGTGCAAACGCACGCACATTCATAAATTTTTATTTATTATAATTATTGCAGCTTATATACATACTCTTACATTAAATCATTGTGCTATCCTTTTACCCCCCCTCCCTCCCCCCTCCCTCCTTTATAGTATCTTCATATTTGTAACCGTGTGCACAGATTCTTCATTCGTATTTGGATATTTGGATTGGCTTCCCCCCTTTCCACCCATTCCTTATATCCCACCCATTTATTTGTAATCTTTTGACATTTCTCCTCCCATGTCTCTTCAGTAATTATCTGTGCAAATATATCTAATTGTACGCGTTCAAAGACATAATTATTCCAATTTTCCATTGTCCATTTGTGCCTATCCCTCCATCCCAATGCTATTACAGCCATCCCGGCTAAAACCATAATTTTATATAACTCCCGTTTATTTCTTTCCACTTTTTTATTTCCCAATATTCCAGAAATAGGCAAGTCCCTATTAATCTCTATATTAACTTGAAATAAATCATAGATAACCCTTACAATCTTTTGCCAAAATTCCTTAACCACTTTACATTCCCACCACATATGGGCGTATAGACCTACTTCTTGGCCACAGTGCCAACACTTTGGATTCGTTCCTTTAATCATATACGCTATCTGAGCCGGAGTTCTATACCATTTCCATATAAATTTCCTCACCAATTCTTTATCTCTATTCAATTTATATAATGCCCCCGCTATCCCTTTTTCTTTTACTTGTCTTCTGCTTAATATTTCATCAATTTCTGTTCTCTCCCTGCTTATCCCCTCTAATCTTTCAGATTTAACTAAATTGTATAGTCCTTGCACCTCTAACCAGTACTGCTTTCCGACTTTCTCTGAAAAATTGTTTTTTGCAATTAAAGTTCCTCCTTCAACAAACATATCTTTTAGCCAATAAAAACCGCATTCTTGTAATTTCTTCCACCACCCCATATCGGTAAATTCCTTATTTATATATTTTAATGGCATCCATTTTGAATAGCCTGGCAACCATTTCCTTTTCCAACTTTTCCAGATACCTAGAGCTATTTTCCTTGGTCCAATCGCCTTCTTATACGCCATCTGCACCTCGCCACAAAAAATCCCCTCTCTTCCTATTCTATTATTTATCTCATTTTCCAGCCTCACCCATTTAACTCTATCACTATATCCAATCTCTATTAAATATTTCAATTGAAATGCCTCATAATACAGTTCCAAATTTGGTATCGCCCATCCCATCTCTTCTTTTGGTGCATAATTTACTATGTCTGGAGTTCTAGGCCTTTTGCTTCCAAAAACCCAGTTTTTAAATACCTTATTCCATGTTTTAAACCACTTCCTCCTTATCGGGAGCGCAATTACTTGAAATAGATATAATAATTTTGGAATTAAAAACATTTTGACTGCCCTAACCTTACTTAGGATAGACAAGTTCTTATTTTTCCAAGCTCTCATATCTTTCTTAATCTTCCTCCATACCTCCTTATAATTCACATCAGGTATCTTATCCACATTTTTAATAATCTTCACCCCCAAGTATTTGATTTGTTTTCTCTTAGGGTCCATCTTTGTCATTTCCACTATTTCTTTCTTTTCCTCTCCACTTACGTTCCAGAACAATATTTCCGACTTGTCCATATTAACTCCCAATCCAGATTCCTCTCTAAAGTCTCTCAAAATAATTGAAAGTTCTCTTACTCCCTCCAATGGTTCTACTAATACTAACAGAATGTCATCTGCATACATATTTATTTTAATTTCTTCCTTACCCTTTTTATATCCTTGTATCCTGACAGAGTTTCTTATCCTATCTGCCAAGTATTCCATTCCCAACACAAATAATAATGGTGATATTGGGCACCCTTGTTTAACTCCCCGTTGTATATTGAATTGTTCTGAAACTCCATCATTCACCCTAACTACTGCTTTACCTCCTCTATATAATTCTTGGAGCACCCTCACGAACTTGTCTCCTATTCCTGCCTTTATCATAATATTCCATAAAAATTTATGTCTTATAGTATCGAAGGCCTTGTATACATCTAATTTCAATAAGGCTAATTTCCCTTTTGGCCTACTTGTTAACACGTTTATCACGTTTCGTATTGGGTGTCCAATATATCTTCCACTTATAAATCCATATTGATCTTCTTTGATTATTTTGGGAAGTGCCTTTTCCAAGCGTTTTGCCAAAATCTTTGTCAATATTTTATAATCTAAATTTAATAAACTGATAGGTCTGTATGCGCCTACCTCTGTAGGGTCCTTCTGTGGTTTTTCAATCACTACTATTTCCGCTAGTTTCCACGTATCTGGAGCCCTTCCCCCTTTTAAAATATTATTGAATACTTTTTTCATTTCTGGGCCAATTATATCTATTGTTTCTTTATAAAAATCAATAGTAAACCCATCTAATCCTCGGCCTCTGTGCCCTGTTGTTGGCCCTCCAGAGGAACTGGTTGGCCCCTGTGTGGGACAGGATGCTGGACTAGGTGGACCCTCACTGGTCTGACCCAGCACGGCCTCTCAGAGACAGTACAGGCAGGCTTCTGTGAGCTTCACAAGCCCTCCTGGGACTCCGGCCACCGACGTACCTGCTAGTCCAGCCGCAGAAGGCCAAGACGCAGGCAGGGATGTGGACCTGGAGGAGGTCCGAAGGGCGCTTCGTGGCGGGCTTCCCGCCCTCCGCTTTGCAGTCGAGTTCCTCCTCGATCAGATGGAGCAGGAGGCTGATCTTCTCTTCGGACAAGGACTTGGGAGAGGGAAACAAACAGACGGTGAGCTGGCACATGCCGCGAGGGTGCCTGCTGCCCTCTGTTCAGTTCACCAGATGGGCTACCAGACGCCTGCCCGTGGACAGGAAGTGGCTGAAAACTGCCACGTTTCCCCAAGCCAGTGCTGGCCAGGAGCACAAAGCTTGGTTGATGTAACAGAGCAGTGGGAGGTGGTGGAGTGGAATGTTCCCTTTACAGACCGCAAAGGTGACGTCACATTTTACCAGGGGTCATTCCGTAGAAAAAGAGGTGCAGGAGCTCATTAGCATAACTCATTTGCATATGCCACACCCCCTGACATCACCGGAAGTGTGTCAGAAGGCAACACCCACCGCTCAGGCTCCACTGGACTGTTTTGGATTG